TGCGCAGCGATGTACAGCGGTGTGGCTCCGCTGTTGCTAGCCTTGTCGACCTCCGCCCCGCCCTTGCTCACCAGCCATCGCACCACATCCAGACAACCCATATCGGCAGCCATGTACAGCGGCGTGACTCCGTTGGTCAAGGTCGTGTTGACCGCCGCCTTTCCCTCGCCCAGCAGCCACTGAACCACTTCCAGATGACCGTTACGCGCAGCAATAAACAGCGGTGTGGCTCCGCTGTTGCTAGCCTTGTCGACCTCCGCCTCGCCCTTGCTCACCAGCCATCGCACCACATCCAGATGACCCATCTCGGCAGCCATGTACAGCGGCGTGGCTCCGTTGTTGTCGGCCTTGCCGACATCCGCCCTGCCCTCGCCCGCCAGCCACTGAACCACATCCAGATGCCCGCTATGCGCAGCAATAGACAACGGTGTGGCTCCGTAATTATCGGCCTCGTCGACCGCCGCTTCACCCTCGCTCACCAGCCATCGCACCACATCCAGATGACCCATCTCGGCAGCCATGTACAGCGGTGTGACTCCGTCGTCGTCGGTCTCGTCGACTGCCACCTCGGACTTCTTCACCAGCCACTGTACCAAGCCTAGGTAACCCTGCTTCGCAGCGCTGAGCAAGCACGTGGCTCCGCTGTCCTCGTCTTGGTCAACCTCCATCCCGTATGCGCTCACCAGCCACTGCACCACATCCAGGTGGCCTTTCTCCGCAGCAATGTACAGCGGTGTGGCTCCGCTGTTGCTAGCCTTGTCAACCTCCGCCCGGCCCTCGCTCACCAGCCACTTCACAACATCCAGGTGACCGCTATGCGCAGCAATGTACAGTGGTGTGGCTCCGCAGTCCAAGGTCTGGTCAACCGCCGCCCCACCCTTGCCCACCAGCCACTGCACAACATTGAGGTGACCGCTATGCGCAGCAATAGACAGCGGTGTTGCCCCGTTGTTGTTAGCCTCATCGATATCCGCCTCGCCCTCGCTCACCAGCCATCGCACCACATCCAGATGACCCTTCTCGGCAGCAATGTACAGTGGTGTAGCCCCGTTGTTGTCGGCCTTGCCGACATCCGCCCCGCCCTCGCCCGCCAGCCACTGAACCACATCCAGATGACCGTTATGCGCAGCAGCGTACAGCGGTGTGGCTTCGTTGCTCAAGGCCAATTCGACTTCCGCCTTGCCCTCGCTCACCAGCCACTGAACCACATCCAGATGACCGTTGTACGCAGCAATGTACAGTGGTGTGGCTCCGCAGTCCAAGGTCTGGTCAACCGCCGCCTCGCCCTCGCCCACCAGCCACTGCACAACATTGAGGTAACCGCTATGCGCAGCTACATACAGTGGTGTTGCTCCGCCGTTCACGGTCTTGTTGACATCCGCCCCGCCCGTCTTCACCAGCCAACGCACTACATCCCGGTTGCCATTCTGCGCAGCGATGCACAACACTGTGACTCCGTCGACGTCGGTCTCGTCGACTGCCACCCCGGACTCCGTCACCAGCCACTGTACCAAGCCTAGGCAACCCTTTTTCGCAGCGCTGAGCAAGCACGTGGCTCCGCTGTCCTTGACTTGATCAACCTCCATCCCATATGCGCTCACCAGCCACTGCACCACATCCTTGTGGCCTTTCTGTGCAGCAATGTACAGCGGTGTGGCTCCGTTGTTGTGAGCCTTGTCGACCTCCGCCCCGCCCTCGCTCACCAGCCACTTAACCACATCCAGATGACCGCTTCGCGCAGCTATGTACAGTGGCGTGGCTCCGTTGTTCAGGGCCTTGTCGACCGCCGCCTTGCCCTCGCCCACCAGCCACTGCACTACATCCAAGTGGCAGCTAAGCGTGGCAATAGACAACGGCGTGGCCCCGTCGTTATTGGCCTTGTCGACATTCGCCCCACCCTCGTTCACCAGCCATCGTACCACAACTAGTTGACCCATCTCGGCAGCAATGTACAGCGGCGTGACTCCGTCGTTGTCGGCGTTGTCGACATCCGCCCCACCCTTGTCCACCAGCCATTGTACCACTTTCAGGTGGCCATTCTGCGCAGCGATGTACAGCGGTGTCCATCCCTTGTTGTTGGCTTTGTCGACATCCGCCCCACCCTTGCTCACCAGCCACTGCATCACATCCAGGTGTCCACCCCAGGCAGCAGCCATCGCCGCCGTCCACCCGTCCGTCCGCCCATCCTCCACCCCCACCACCGCACTCCCCACTAGCCACTGCACCACATTCTTCCGCCCCATCCGCGCCGCGCCCGTCAGAGCCGTGTCCTGGTACACAACCCGGTCATTGACCCCGGACACCACTTGATCCTTCACCGCCACGCCACCCTCCACCAGCGCCTGTACCCTCTCCAGGTCTCCCGCGCGGGCCGCACGCACAAGCTCCTGCACCCCGCCGCTCATGTCGTCGGTCGCAATAGTGAACTTGTAGACTGCTTTGTTCTCCCTCCTCGGCTGTGCTCTTGAGAAAGGTGTACCCGCTTCCCCGCCTTTCCCCTTCCTTGTTGACCTACGCTGTCACACTCATGCGGACGAAGTCACCCAGGAAGAAGTGTGCCGTCCTGCTCTGCTGCCAACTCGCGCTGGAAGCAGCAGCAGCAACACAGATGGTATTCACACCACAAATAGCACATCTTTATTCACATGCATCCGCAGCATCTCCTCCCTGCTAGACATCCTGATCGCCTCCAGGAACTTGCGCCGCTTCCACTCGCGGTACTCGCTAGACGACCTCCCACCGCTGGAATCCGAGCTCGAACTGCTGCTCCTCTCCTCGTTCCGGGCCTCGAACACACACAACGACTCCCCGCCATCGCCCCTATCCGACACCATCGGCGGCGCTTTTCTCCGTCCCCGCACACGCTTCTCCATAGTACCCCTCCCATCATCTCGCTCCACCATGTTGCCAAATGGCTCGGTGTAAGCCGCGGCGAATGCCTCGCTAATCTCGCCAAAGGCCGCACGTCGTGCGTCGCTCTCGACCTCGTCTCCACGCCCCCTCCTCGTCTCGTGCTGTGCCATCGCCGAGACCCAGGCCACCCTCAAGGCAACCGACGCCGGTCACTGCAAAGCCTTTCTTGTTTTATCGGTAGCGACATCTCGTGCAACACTCTCTCTCACGCTGCCGACGCCGACGCGACCGATGCGGACCTTCCGGTGCACAATATCATGGACGTCTCGTTCTCGTTGCCTGTCCACAGCGAGCAGTTCAAACTCTGTCGACACTCCTGCACACAACATCGATCACACTGACACGCCTTGCAGCCTCAGATGGTAACGCCTCGCCACTTCCGCCTCGAGCACCACTCACCAGACCTCGACCTTCGTCTCTCGCCACCGTCACATGGTACTGGCAGGCGAATTCAAAGATAGGAGCGTCACTTGGAGACAAACATCACTTACAAACGCTACAGATCATCCGGGCCATGCGGCGTAGCTCTGCCGCGCTGTGAGATCCGCATCATGCGCCGGATGTGCGCAATCATCCGACGTTGCCGCGACGCAATTGACGCCATGAATCGAAGATACCGTGCCGGAAGCAGTTCGGGACTGTAGCAGAACGCCCACATAATGATCGTCTGCAGCGCCATAAAGACAGCCACCGTTCCGATGAGCGACGCCAGCGGCGGGAGCGGCGGGAGCATCCTTTGCACGAGCGCATCCATCGCCCGTGCAAGCATGTACAGCGCTAGCTCGATAGACCGCTCACTGGTCCCCTCACATGCCCCAAGTACAAGGCCCGCCATACTGCCCGCCACAACCCCTCCAGCCATCTTGGATCGCACGCCCGCCCTCCGCAGCAGCGGGAGCACGAAGCACACCGCCGCACGATACGTCGCGGCCGCCGCAGCAAACGACGCGCCAAAGCTGAAAGTCGACGAGTCCGTTGCTGCTGCCACTGCTGCGGCGAGTCTTCTTGGCAGCCACCTTGGCAACCGTATCTGCATCCAGTCGGGTAACTCTGGTCGCTCTGCATGTACTGTGTAGTGCTCGGCGTCTGCTACTGCGTACCGACGCGTCCTCGCCGACGACGTGAGGCCACCAAGCAAGGCCGAGACTGCCGCCTTGGCTGCTGTCGTAAACGCTAGTGCCCGCACTGAAGCCACCGGAATCGAGACCAAGCATCGCACTACCGTCGCATGCGTACACGCCATGCCCACCGGCGCCCTCTCTTCGCACCCGGCCTAGGCGTCAAGTGACACGCCGCGAGCGACTCAACGCCACCCCGTATTGACCCGCTGGCCACCCACCCACACCCGCACCACCGCTCTTCCACCCACCGCACACCAGCCTACCGCAACCCCCGTTTCACCACCCCACACGCATTCCAAGCACCTTGCACCTCTGCTCTTAGTCTTGGACTTGTCTTTGGGGGGCTGAGCATGGGCTGTGGAAGCTCGCGGGCGGCGCCAACGTCCCACGACGGCCGACCTTCCCGGGCAAGGAGCCAGCCAAGGCCAGGAGCCCATTCTGCTGCTTCGGGCGACGTGTCCACGGGGAGACTGTCACAAGAGTTGGTGCCCACAGTCGATCTGGGGAGCTCGCCGGTGTCGCCGACGTATCTTGAGACCCTTTCCCGCAGACAGAACGGATTCGGGGCCGGGGCCGGCAGTACCTCCCTGGCCTCGCCACTCAACGAGTCATTGGCCTCGGTCAACTCGCTTGGGGCGCTCTTCCGATCCGACGGCGACCATGACAGTGCCCTGTCACACGCCCAGGCTACTAGCCACAGGCGGAAAGCAAGTGGGAAGGAGGATATCAAAGCCCGTCATGCCTGGTCGCAATTTCTAGAGCGTTCGCTCTCCCCGTTCCCGCCGCACTACCCAACCGCCCCGGTCAAGAGCCTCCACGGCGCGCTGCATCGTCTGCATCTGCTTGCGACGAGCGTGCCGACGCCTTTGCCTTTGCTCGAGTTTCTGGACGACCGGGAGAATGTTATCAAGCTGGCCGGCAACATCGTCGGCACGCTCACCCGGTTCTGCAACGACTCACACGTCCAGCGCCACGGCGCGCTGGCCCTCGCTGCTCTCGCTAACATCTCAACTCCGTTTGCCGGCTTGGCGGAAGAGAAAGGTGCGTCTGCCGTCATGCTCCACGCCATCTACCAGCGGCGGAAGCGGTTTGTCGACGACAAGATCGACACCCGAAAGGCCTACTGCGCTGATGCAGAGGTTCTCCTCGGCTATGTCGGCATTGTCGAGCGGTTCTCGCTTGTGTCCAATGCCCACTTTGAGCAGAACCCACACGAGGCTCTCCTTATTCCCGCCCTTGTCGGCCGGCTCGAGTCCCCAACCGCGCTGCAGGGCCTCGTACGCCTCTTCTCGTTCTTTGTTGTGCTCGATCCGGTCATCACGCTTCGGACTGCTCGGGTTGTCATTGACCGCGCCACTGCACTCCTCGCGTCACCGGAGGCCTGGCCGCCGTCGCTCACCGCTGTCCTCATCCAGGTTGTCGCCCTCATCCACTCGTACCCGGCTGGCCGTGCCATGGTCGAGTCGCGCCGCGGCGACCTGGCGAGAGCCATCGAGGCCACCTTTGAGACCCATGTATACGCCGACGAGCGCCAATCTGAGGAGATTTGTATGCTCATCCTGCGCTTTCTCGAGCAAATCGACCTGCCGCTCGCCGAGTCGGCTGCCTCGTCCGCCGGCGCCGCGCGCTCCATCGCCATGCGCCGGCGTTCGCTCTCGGCCCAGCGGACGCCCAAGGACCAGTCAACAGGTTCATCCTGCCAGATGGAGTCGGACGTCGTGCCGTATACACACCTCGCGGAGTTTTCGCCGGGTCAGTAAATGCAATCCATTTACTACCGCCGCCCGTGGATAACGCTCAGATGACAAAGTACGGCAGCGTCTCGCCCACAAACGCGCCAATGCTTGTTCCGGTTCCGGGCTGGATGAGCGTGCCAAAGCCTGCAGCAAACGCGCCGGAGAAGACAGCGACCGTCGACGCGAGTGCGTTGAGATAGAGCCGCTCCTGGAAGTGGCTCTTGGCCTTGGCCGACTTGCGGACGAGTGCCTTGTTGTGGGCCGCGATCTCGGCATTGGCCCGCTCTAGCGTTGAGACGCCGGCCCGCGGCGCGCGGCTCTCCGAGTGCTCGCGCCGCCGCAGCGAAGCGTGCCACATGGTGAGGAACTTGTACTCGATATAGCCAAAGGCCTGCGACGCGGTGCAGGTTGCTACGTGCGAGAGCGTCATGGCCGGCACCGCCAGCGGGACCACCAACGCCGCCGCCACATGCCGCGGGAACTTGCGCGCTGCCGCCTTGGCAGACTCGGGCACAGACGCAAGCATCGGGACTGCTACCCAGTCCGGACAGTACGAGATGACCCCGATCTGGAGCAGCGCCTTGACCGTGACGCGGAAGAGGTCCTGCACAAAGGCAAACGCGAACCGCTGCGGGAGCTCGCCGGCCGGCCGGACCTGGATAGCCACAAGGAAGCTCTGAACGAGACCCGCCGTCACTGCCGACTCGCCCCACTGTGCCTGTCGCAGTGCCTGTGTCAGCGGCAGCAGCGTCTCGTACCGCGCCCGCCCAATGCCCTCGCCCGTCGACACGTCAAACACGTCCGGCAGCGCCTGCGAGTCCGCAGCCGTGTACCCAAGCGGACAAAGACCGTCGCCGCGGCCGCTCACATGGACAGCTCCGCCCTGCCTCCCATGACCGGCAACTCCCAAGTTACCGTCCTGCGGCTGCGTGGTGACCTTCATGGCTGTGCCCTGGCTTGCCATTCCGTCGACGTAGTGAGTGATGTGCCAGGTCGCAGCCAGCCGCCGACACCGACAAGCACACGACGACATACTTTATCTGCTACAGCTTGGCCATGTGCTGCATCATGCTGTACACCGTGGCAATCTGCGGGCCGAGCTTGGTCGGGTACTCGACACCGGTATAGCCCCACCAGTCGAAGCACGACTTGGGGTTGAGCGCGTTCGACGTGGCCTGCGGGAAGAGCACGGCGATGTTGTTGGTCTCCGCCCACTGGAGAACGCCCGTGTTGAGCACAAACTGGGTCGAGATTTCCTTGAGCGACTGCTCGCAGCCGTGGAAGAGGACCAGAAGCTTGCAAAAGGTGGCGTTCATGGCGTCGTCATCCGAGGCGATGCATGCCGGCGGTACATACGCGTATGCAGTGGTGTCGAGCGAGAGCTCGCCGGGCGTGTAGACGCCAGGAATGAACGCAGCCTGCGAGAACTGATACACATTGTCCAGGATCGATGATGCCGGCGGTGCTGTCGGCGCCGACCGGTTGTTGAGCGGGCCGTAGAGCGAGGTGAGCATTTCGCCGGCAAGATCGTACCCGCAGTTGACAATGTACGGCGACTCAAAGTGGTCGCACGCGTGCCCAGTGTAGTCGGTCACAATCGAATGGACCGACGGGATGTCGAGCTTGACCGTCATTGCCGATGCGTCAACCCACTTGGAGAGCTGCTCCTCAAGCTTGGACATGACGCCCTGGTGGACGACTGTGTCGAGCGTGCCCGAGTACAGATACACGTTGGTCTCCTCGATGTTCTTGAGCGGATCGATCTGCAGCGTCGTCTCCATGTACGTCATTTCGCCCAGAAGAACCGTGTCCGAGATCAGCGCCGGTGTCTTGGTGCACGAGGTCAGTGCCAGATCGAGCTGGTTCTGTGCGCAGTAGAACGGTCCACCGGCCACCACGCCGAGCCCAGCAAAGAGGCCCGAGTGCGCCACCGCCATCTGCACGGCCTGGAATGCACCAGCCGACAACCCGCCCACAGTCACCTGCTGCGGATCAATGTTGCAGTGCGCTGCATTGTTTCCCGCCCAGCCCATCCCGAGTCCACCCCATACGTCATGCCCACCATCTCCACGCCGCACATGAGTTGCATGCCTGCCGCCGTGCCCGTACTCAACCTGACCTTCCCCTCGGTCTCCCCTCTTCCCCTTCCCATCATCCCCCGCCCTCCTCGCCCACCTGCAATCCCACACACCACATACGCAAGTCTGAGCCTTTGAACACCACCTCTCCATCAACCACAGTCCACCTCTGTCCCTCGGCAGCGACCGCCATGGCCATGCATGCCACGACAGTAAGCAGGACCAGGACTCGTGACATTGGCAGTCCAGAATCAGAAAAATGTCTGTCCGCCACCATCACTTGCCGCCACCTGCCACCCGCCCACCCCGCCACTCAACCGCCGCCCCATTCCTTCTGTTATTCCTTCCACCTCACCCCACTCCACCCACCCACACTCGCTCCCACACACCTAACCACACACACAGACACACACACACACACACACACACACACGCATACATACATACATTCATACACACACAAACAAACACACACACACACACACGCACCATGGCTGCACCACCAGGGAGAAAGCGCCCGCCACGCCCTCCCATCATCACCGACTTTGCCACGCCTGTGCCAGTCCCAAACCCAGTGGTCGAGCTGGTCGACGTACGCACTTACCCCCCACCCCCCCTACCCCCCCCTCTCCCCTTCCCCTCCCCTTCCCCTCCACTCACCCCCCTCTTCTTCCGTAACCCAGGCGATGGGCTCGTTCGACCACAGCCAACTGACGTTTGTCCGCCTGCTCGGCCGCGGCGGGTTTGGCGAGGTCAAGCTGTATCGGAGCCCGAGCGGTGAGCTGGTGGCGGTCAAGGCTGTCCCGCTCTACGCCGACACCGACAAGGAGCGCGAGCACATGCTGTGTGAGGTGCGGACGCTCAACTCGTCGGACTCGGACTATCTTGTGCGGCTCCGGGGCGCCTTTTTCCACGACGACAAGCTGCACCTGGCGATGGAGTTTATGGACGGCGGCTCACTGCGCGACGTGCTCAAGAGCTCCTCCGCCCGCCAGCGCATGCCCGAGGCTATCCTGGGCAAGATTGCGGTGGCGGTTATGCACGGCATGAACTACCTCAAGAAGGAAAAGGGTGTCATGCACCGCGACATCAAGCCCGACAACATCCTCGTCGCCTCCGACGGCTCCATCAAGCTCGCCGACCTCGGCATTGCCAAGAAGCTGGAGGACTCGATCGCCAAGACCAATGTCGGCACCACATACTACCTTGCTCCCGAGCGCATTCGTGGCGACGTTGCCGAGTACAACATCACCGCAGACGTCTGGGCTTTTGGCGTTACCATGATCGAGCTTGCCACTGGCGCCTTTCCCTACGAGGTTGCCTCTGAGTTCCTAGTCCTTGACGCCATCGTCAACTCTCCGGCCCCTGGTCTTTTGCCAGCCGATGGCTGGTCCGAGGAAATCTGCCACTTTCTCGCCGCTTGCCTCGAGAAGAACCCAGACATGCGCCCGCGCCCCTGGGAGCTTCTCTCGCACCCGTTTATTCTCAAGTGGCAGGCCGCAGAAGTCGCCGTCTCCACCTGGCTTGATGACACTCGCCCTGCTACCTCATCATAATGCTGTTGCCGTGTTAAATTGCCCTGTGCATCGCCATCATCATTATCGTCGTCTTTCCCCGCATCCACAGCCTTGTCCCTGCTGGAACCTTCCCCTCACCCCCTCGCCGTTCGCGTGCCACTCCAAAACATAACGTGTTACCATTGAACGAACGAACGATTAACAGCGACGGTCGGTCGGCTCACTCGACTCGCACCAACCAAACACAAATGTCGGCAGCTGCGTCGTCGTCCAAGTCCAGCGGGAACATGAACTTCCAGGAGAAGGACCGCGAGAACGACGTCCGCGTACGTGCGGACCCTGCGTCCTCCCCTCTCTCTCTCCCTCGCCCCTGTTTGCTATTGCCTCCCCCCTCTCCCCTCTTCCCGCTCTCCGCCCCCCTTCCCCGCCCTTCCCGCGCGAATCTACGGCTTGGCGCCGACATCCCCCCTCGGCGACCGGTCCCGCGCGCCCATGCCGGCCGCAGGCAGCAGAGCAGAGCGGTGTATGGACCACGCATGTGATGCCATTCACGCGCAGGACCGCGCTTTCCCCCTTCCCCTCCTCCCCCGCACCCCGTTCTCCTCCGTTGGCCGCGGCGGGGAGAGCGACCTCGGCGGGTTCATCTCCATTTTTTGGCTCGCAAATGGCGCTCTCCTCCTCCTCCCCCCTTGCCGCAATCGCAGCCCATACTCACAAACTGGCGGCGGTGGCGAGAACAGGTCTCGAACATTGTTGCGGCCAAGGCTGTGGCGGATGCGGTGCGGACCTCGCTCGGCCCGCGTGGCGCCGACAAGATGCTTGTCGACGGCAAGGGCGACGTGACCATCTCGAACGACGGCGCGACGATCATGTCCAAGATGGCAGTCGTCCACCCGGTGGCCAAGATGCTTGTGGAGCTCTCGCGCGCGCAGGACGTCGAGGCTGGTGACGGCACGACGTCTGTTGTGGTTCTGGCCGGCTCGCTCCTCGCCAAGTCGCTCGAGCTCCTCGAGAAGGGTGTGCACCCGACCGTCATTGCCGAGGGTTACCAGCAGTCGCTCGACTACGCGCTCGACGTGCTCCGCGGTATGGCGCTGCCGTTGACGCTCGACGACCGCGAGTCGCTGCTGAAGGCCGCCTCGACCTCGCTCAACTCCAAGATTGTCTCGCAGTACTCGTCGCTCCTTGCCCCGATTGCCGTCGACGCCGTGCTCAAGGTCATCAACCCGGAGCTCGACAACAACGTCGACCTCAACGAGATCAAGGTCGTGACCAAGCTCGGCGGCACCGTCGACGACACCGAGCTCGTCGAGGGCCTTGTCTTCACCAAGCTCAAGATCCGCGCCAAGGCCGGCGGCCCGCAGAAGGTCACCAACGCCAAGATTGGCCTCATCCAGTTCCAGCTCTCGCCGCCCAAGACCGACATGGAGAACCACATCATTGTCTCGTCGCACGTGCAGATGGACCGCATCATTGCCCAGGAGCGCAAGGATGTGCTCAAGAAGGTCAAGGCCATCAAGAAGTCTGGCTGCAACGTCCTCCTCATTCAGAAGTCCATCCTCCGCGACGCCGTCTCGGACCTCGCCCTCCACTACCTGTCCAAGATGAAGATCCTGGTCGTCACCGACGTCGAGCGTGCCGACGTCGAGTTTATCTGCGACACCGTCGGCTGCTCGCCCATCTCGCACATCGACCACATGTCCGCCGAGAAGCTCGGTACCGCCGGCACCGTCGAGTCGCTCGGCACTGGCGCCAACCGCTACATCAAGATCACCGACGTGCCTAACCCGGGCAAGACCGTCACCATCCTCTGCCGCGGCTCCAACAAGCTCATGCTTGCCGAGGCCGAGCGTTCCATCCACGACGCCCTCTGCGTCATCCGCTCGCTCGTCAAGGAGCGCTTCCTTGTCGCCGGCGGCGGTGCTCCCGAGATGGAGGTCTCGCAGGCCCTCGACAAGCACTCGCGCACCATCCCGGGCGTCAAGTCGTACTGCATGCGCGCCTTTGCTGAGGCCATGGAGATCATCCCTTACACCCTTGCCGAGAACGCCGGCCTCTCGCCCATCAAGATCGTCACCGAGCTCCGCAACCAGCATGCCGAGGGCAACGCCCAGGCTGGCATCAACGTCCGCCGCGGCTCCATCACCAACATGGTCGACGACGCCGTCATCCAGCCGCTCCTCGTCTCCGTCTCGGCCCTCAAGCTTGCCGTCGAGTGCGCCCGCGGCATCTGCAAGATTGACGAGATCGTCTCCTCCAAGTGAACCCACTCCATTATCCCTCGCCTCGCCTCTTCCCTTGCCCGCCGCCCCTGCTTCGTGTCCGTACCCCACTGCCCGAACACAACCTCCCACACCCAACCCCACACACCACATACCACTCCCACACCTACAAACTCCGCACCCACCCACACACACACACCATGCCACCGTCCTCCCACCTCCTCACTCCGACCTACAAACCAGTCCCCCTCCTCAACGTACGCAACCCTCCCTCCTTCTGCTCGCTCCCCTCCTCCTCGTCATCCCCACTCACCATCACTACAGTCGGTTAAGGTCGAGATCCCGCCAGCTCCGCTCCGCGCCACATACTGCCTCGTCTTCCCACGCACCGATCCGGATGGAGAGGTGGACATGCCAGACCTGGTCGACGCGGTAGCGCTCACACTGCGCGCCTCCGGTCTCATCGCCTCGCGGCGGTCTGCCGCCGACGCCGACGAGATCATGCTTGCCATTGACGCGCCGCACATGTGGCTGGCCCGTGCGGCCGAGGCGGCTTCGCTGAAGAAGGCGCTCAAGGACGGCGCGCTCCGCTCATTTGTCGTTGCCCGCTCCGAGGCCTTTGATGGCTTTGCGGAGCGGACCCAGTTCTTCACCTCCAAGGAGAAGATCCAGCTGCTGATCGACGCGCTCGAGTGTTTGCTGCCCGGAACAGATGCGGCACGCGTGGCAAGCGTTCCATGGTCGCCGTCGATGCCGATGGTCGCCACTCTCCGCAAGGAATCACTGCTCCTTGCCGAGTTTCCGTTCCACGACGACGATGCCCTGGCGGCGCTCGAGAACGCATGGCTCACCCGGCACCTCGAGTCGCGGCAGCCGATCGACGCCGTGCACGAGTACTACGGCGCCGAAATTGCGTTTTACTTTGCTTGGCTTGAGGAGTACACCCGGTGGCTGACCGTGCCTGCCGCGCTCGGCGCCGTCGTTTTTGCCCTCACCCAAACCATGCCGTCGGCGGCGCAGATCGGCATCCTCGTCTTTGCTGCATTTATCACTCTCTGGGGCACCTGCTTCCTCGAGGCATGGAAGCGGCGCTCCGCCGTCCTCGCTTACCACTGGAACGTCCACGAGCATGAGGCCTCGGAGGCGGCTCGGTTCCAGTACACCGGCGAGTTGGTCACGAATCCGCTCACCGGTGCACATGAGCGCCACTTTCCCTGGGCTGCTCGCGCCGCCCGCTACGCCATCACCATTCCGGTCACCGTTGCTGCTGTCATATTTGCCATTCTCGTCATGCTCACCTCGTTTGCCGCCGAGGACGCGCTCCGCGGCTCGCACTGGACCGTCCGCCTCATCCCGCTCGGCCTCTACGGCGTCTTTGTCCCGCTCTTCAACATGGCCTACCGCAAGCTCGCCGTCGTCCTCAACGACTACGAGAACCACCGGACCGAGACTCAGTACAAGGACAGTATGATCATCAAGCTCGCCTCGGTCCAGTTTGTCAACTGCTACGTCTCGCTCTTCTACGCAGCCTTTGTCGTCCGCGACCTCGACCGGCTCACTACCCAGCTCACCTCGCTCCTGTTTACCTCGCAGATTCTGTTTGGCACCCTCGAGGTCCTCACTCCGGCAGCCACAAAGCTCTACGCGCTCTGGTCGTCGGCAAAGGACTTGGGCTCGGACCATGCCCCGCGCATCGTTTCCAAGGCTCGTGCCGAGTACGGCATGCCTCCGTACGCCTCGGTCTACGACGACTACCTCGAAATGGTCATCCAGTTTGGCTACATTACCCTCTTTGCCGCCGTCCTCCCTCTCGCCCCGCTTCTTGCCTTTGCCAACAACGTCGTCGAGATCCGCGCCGACGCCTACAAGCTCGTCGGCACCTCGCGCCGCCCGGTCCCTGTCACCGTCTCGGACATCGGCGTGTGGTGGACCCTGCTGCAGGTCCTCTCGGTCGGCTCGGTCCTCACCAATGTGGCCCTCGTCGGCTTTACCTCGCACGGCATCGCCGCGCTCACGCCGACATGGTCGCACGCCGCCCAGCTCGGCCTTCTTGTCGCCGCCGAGCACGCCCTCCTCGCCCTCAAGTATCTGCTCTCGGTCACCATCCCCAACCGTCCCGAGTGGCTCGAGATGCGAATCCAGGCCGAGCACGCCCGCAACCGCGCCTTTGCCGCCGACGCCGCCGCCGCTGCCTCCCGCCCCATCCCCCAGCACGACCACGCCGACTGAGCTCATGATGCCCAGTCGAGCCGAGCTCACCCCGCCCTCACCACAAACGAACGAACGAACGAACGAACCAACGAATGAACGAACGAGCGAACGTCCGTCACACGTCAAAGCTCGAATCACCCGACTTCAGCGGTCCTCACAGGGACCATGTCGTTGGCGCGAGTCTACCGCGATGCTATTTCCAAGCAGCCGGACGACTTTACAGCCTACAATGACATGCAGATTGAGTGGGGTGACCCCGAGAAGTATGCCGTTGTCCGCAAGATTGGCCAGGGTACGTTCGCCATGCCCCCCCCCCCCCTCCTCGCCCAGCCTCCCCCCTCATCCCGCCTTTCGGGCTCCACCCTTCCACTCCCGCGCAACGCTGCGTACATTAGCCACACTACAGAGACGACAACCAGCCACGGCCGCAACCAGCATACTCCACGCATGTTCAACTCTACCAAGAACCTTTGCATGCCGTAGTGCACTCTGTCAGCCGCCTGAGCTCCTACCTTTGGGCTGCAGAGCGCAGGGCGACGTCGCCACGTTCGCGGTCGTTTTTTGGTCGACGAAGGGGGAGGCGAGAAGGGCTCGCGGTCGCACGCCCGCGACCGCCTGGCTTGGCTAGCAGCACGCCTGGACTCACATCACGTGTGCGGAGGAGCTAGGCAAGTACTCTGAGGTTTTCCTGGGCAAGGACGTGTCGACTGATCCCGAAGGCGATGTGGTGCTCAAGGTGCTGAAGCCGGTCAAGTTCCAGAGGATCAAGAAGGAGATCAAGATCCTTCAGAATCTGCGCGATGGCCCGAACATCCTCCAGCTCCTGGATGTTGTCCGCGATCCGGAGACCAAGCAGCCTTGCGTGGTGTTTGAGTGGGTCGATGCTGTCGACTTTAAGACGTACTTTCCGTCCATGCCGGACATGGAGGTGCGGTTCTACCTCTACAAGCTGCTGGAAGCTCTCGACTATGCTCACTCAAAGGGCATCATGCACCGCGATGTCAAGCCGCACAACACGGTGTATGACCCCAAGACGAGGACACTGAGACTCATCGACTGGGGTCTGGCCGACTTTTACTACCCCGGCATGGAGTTTTCGCTCCGCGTCGCCTCGCGCTACTTTAAGGCCGTCGAGCTTTTCCTCGGCATGCGCGACTACGACTACTCGTCGGACCTGTGGTCGGTCGGCGTTGTGGCTGCCCAGATGGTCTTCATCAGCTATCCGTTCTTCCGCGGGAAACGGACCGACGCCAACCAGCTCTCCAAGATCGTCCGCATCCTCGGCACCGACGACATGGTCGCTTTCCAGCAAAAGTACCATCTTTCTGACGAAGACTCGTGTGAGCCCAAGGGCTTCAAGCACTACCCCAAGAAGCCGTGGGAGTCGTTCATCACCGAGGAGAACAAGCATCTCTGCTCGCCAGAGGCTCTCTCGCTCGTCGATGGCCTCCTCTGCTACGACCACCAGGAGCGCCTCACCGCTCGCGAGGCAATGGAGCACCCGTACTTTGCCCCCATTCGCGAGGCCGAGGAGGCTGGCCAGGATCCTTTTTAGGCCACGAGCAAGCTACATGCCTACACTCACCATTCCACCCGCCACTGCTACAACCAATGCCATCAAACACCCCCCTCCCCTCCCTTCCCGCTCCCGTTCGAATCTCCCGCGCCCCACACCCACCCACGCCCGCACCCGCACCCCCCACACACAAACACACACTCTCTCTCTGTCTCTCACACACCCCACTTCACCCCACACCCACCCCACACCTCCCTCACTTACCCACACACACAAACACCCACACCACATCCGCCCAAGCTGCCTACCATCCGCGAACGGAACCGGCGGCGGACAGCACGGTTGTGCTCGCTCCCTCCGTCGCCTCCGCCGACTCCGCCCAAGACACCACAGACGCATCCGCGGCGTAACATGTCAGCCATGGACGAACCTCGCCAGGCTACCGACGACGCCTCGGAGGCCGACCGCATCCTCGCCCAGGCCATGCTGAGCTTTGAAGCGCTGCTGCGGGCCAAGAGCGAGTCGCCGCCGCGGTCGCCGCGGACTCCGCCACCCGCCAAGTCGGCCCTCGCCCGCGCGCTAGAAGCGGCCGACGCCAGCGGCAGTAGACAGAAAGATTCCGACTCGGCGGCAGACAGGCCTCCCGACCCAGTTGACATGGAGGCGTATACAGCGAGCATGCCGGTTCGCCCGGCGGCAGCGCGCAAGCCGCCGGCGTTGGCGTCGCCGCATCGCGGGCCGGTCGCGTCGTCCGCGGCTGACGCGCATCGTGACTCTGGCTCCGCCTCACCCTACCTCTTGCTCCACGCGTCGAGCAAGGCTGCTCTTGCTCGCGCTTTGCCTCGCGACCCACTCTCGCCGCCTGCTCCGGCAAGTAGCAAGCGCGCGGTCTCGTTTGCCGGCGCCGATGACCGCGACCACTCACGGCCGCCGCTCTCGCGTGGCTCCCAGCTCCACACCCACTCGCAGCGGTCGTCGCGTCCCGGCTCGCGCCCTGGCTCACGCCCTGGCTCACGCCCTGGCTCGCGGGCTGGCTCGCCGCCGGGTAATGCCATGGCGGTCGTTCCGTGGTCACCAGCTGCACGGAGCCAGCAGCCTGTGGCCTCACCGCCCGTCACGGGCTCGTTGCCGCAGCGGCCGTCGTTCCTAGCCTACCCGCTCGACTCGGGCGGCGAAGTTGGTCTCCGCAATCTCGGCAACACCTGCTTCATGAATGCCTCGCTCCAGTGCCTGGTCCATCTCCGCTGGCTCTCCACCTACTTTCTCTCGGACGAGTTTAGAGCCGACCTCCCGCCGCCGCCGCCCGACGCTCCTCGCCCGCTGTTTGCAGAACTACCGCTTGGCCAAAACTCGGCCGGCACAACCGACGACGACGACGACGACGAGAATGAGCCCTTGCGGTCTTCAACTGAGCCGACCGATGAGGATGTGCCCGCTGCCTTGTCAGCTGACACCGACAGCACCGACGCGGTCCCGCCGGGAGCACTTGCTCTCTCATTTGCCGAAGTCACCCGCGCGCTCTGGTCTCATGCGCCGATGTTTGCGCCTGTCGATTTCAAGCACCAGATCTCGCGCATTGCTCCGCAGTTTGTGGGCTACGCCCAGCAGGACGCGCAAGAGCTCCTCCGCTTTGTCCTTGACGGCCTGCACTCGGACCTCAATCGAGTCCGCACGGTTTCGGCCCATCCTGCGCCGCACTCGTCGCTCCCGGGCGCGACGCCTTCGGAGCAAGCTGCCGACGCCTGGCGACGCCACGTCGCGCGCGACAACTCGATCATCACCGACGTGTTTGGCGGCATGCTCCGGTCGTCGCTGACCTGCTCTGAGTGCGGCCACGTCTCCAACTCGTACGATCCGTTCATGGACCTTTCGCTGCGAGTGCCCGGTCCGCCGCAGGCGACGGCGTCAGCACACGATCCGGACCACAGCTACGTGCCGCCGGCGCGCACGCTCTACCTCGCCTACACCGACATGTACGGCAACCCGGTATATGCCCAGACCGACAGCGCCCGGTTCGGCTCGCCGCCGTCTCGCCCGCGCCACCTCTCGCAGCCGCGCCCGCCGGTCCGCCCGCCGGTCTCGGCGCGCGCCATGAGCGGCAGCCTCCAGGCCTCGCTTAAGGCCTTTACCGAGCCCGAGGAGCTCGGCGACGACTCGCTTGTCACCTGCTCCGCCTGCCGGGCCCGGACTCGCGCCACCAAGCAGATGGTCGTATGCAAGCTCCCGCGCATCCTTGTCCTTCACCTCAAGCGGTTCTCACTCTCCCGAACCGAACACACCTGGGCCAAGGTCTCTACCCCAGTCGACTTTCCGCTCGAGGGTCTCGACATGGGCCCGTACACCGCCGATCACGACCGCGCCCTCTACGACCTCCTGGCGGTTGTCTGTCACGCTGGCGACCTTACCTGCGGCCACTACACCTCGTACGTCCGCCATCCAGGCACCCTCGACTGGCTCCTCTTTGACGACTCGCGCGTCCACACCGTCGACCCTGCGTCGATCTCGTCATCCAAGGCCTACGTCCTCTTCTACGCCCGCCGCTCGGCCTCATGACCCCACGCAGCGCTAACTGTAAATTGCTGGCACACTCGCCAGCCAGCCGCCAAGCCCACCTCCAACCAGCCATTGGCCACTCTTCTCGACCCGCGTCAACCACCACCATGTCGGCCCTCTTCGAGAACTATGAGTCCGAGTACATGGCCCAGTCGAAGACCATCTCCAACCTCCTATCCGAGGTCCGGAGCCAGTCTGGCGGTATCGTCCCCCCCCTCCCATGTCA